GCGCGTGTCGAATCACTAGCTGATTAACTCTTTTTGCTAGTCTTTTAATGGTAATCCGGTGGGCTCGACTGTGAGAAAATACCCAACGTATAACCGCGAAGGCGGTGAGATCTGTGCATCTGCTGATGGCCAGATATCCCGAAAAAGAACCAGAACGAGCTCCAGAATGAAAAACGAGGCGATGGGCAACCTTGGCGAGCCGGCGACTGAGTTGGTCCAGGGTGGAAGTGTGCACACTGACTTCCTCCAGCGGCTACCTCCTGCTGGGCATTTGAGCTTTACTCAAATCTCCAGACTTCCTTCATTCACTCGATGTCAAAATCTACTGATCTATTCCCCGAGCACCGCTAATTCTCCTAATTTTAGCTTGCCCTCGAGCCCGTTCAACCTGTCTGTTTTGCAGAGGTTGTTGGGCTCTGTTGGTTCATTTGGCTCTCTTCAGTCTGCAGCCATTTGTACCAAAATTATCGCAGCCTTTGAGCCGCGCCGCAACTGCGCTGTGTGGATATACGAAATGGCTATAGCTCCCGGCGTTTGCCACCCACTCCGACGGGATGTAGGCAACACCCCTGAATTGCACGGCAGGGGCAGGTCAGCATGAGAGCAAATAGCTTGCTTTATTCCCAGGACCCTACAAAAAGTGACTGTGCTGCTTTGTGATCACCTCGTTCGCCCCCTAACTTGACTCCCACCCCTTCGTTGAGCGTCTTGTCATGGTTGATCTGCGCCTGCTTCTCGCGTCCTGGTGCCTTTTGTTGGCACACTCGAATGCTATGGGTGTTTGGGTTCGGAATGCAAGGGGTGAATGGGTCCGTCCGACCTGGGAAAAGCGCCACGAACCAGGAGAGGTGCTCCGCCTACCACTCACCAACAATGGCGACAAGTCGTATAGTGTGAGCATAGGAAAAATGACTATTTAGCGTCCTCACCTTTGTTTTTGTAGACGCCTGTCAAGTTGGGGACACCTGAACAAGCGGTGCAGATGGCGGTATCCATGAGCCAGAACCATATCGTGGTCGCAACCAGTAACGAGAGTGGTGTTGGATAGTGAGTACCCGTTGGCATTTTTTTCAGTGTTTTTTAACCCCTCGTTCGCCAGCTATCAATCGTCAACATCCTCGAGCTACAACGAAGGTACCCAGGTAGTGACGATCAGGACCGCAGGAGGTGGTTGTGTTCAAGGACATTTCTCACAAGAGCACGTCGACCTCGCCCACTTTCAATACTCGGGTACCAGTGAGTGTCTTTTTCTTGTCGTCCCCCCGCCAGCCCCCCGCTGACACGCCCTACAAGTTGCCGTAACCGATCCTTCCGTGACGGGTGTCTTGTACCCTGATAGTGTTCACGGTCTCCTCGGCTATGGCGTCGACCCCGGAGGAGACGCACCAGTCAACAGCACGCTCTTGGGCGTCTACACTCCGTGAGTGCCAAACTCTTTCTTACGTGCAATTATGCTGATCGAGGTGACAGT